TACAAATGCTCTTTTCGGCAAAGATGCCTTCCCAGGCACTTCATTACGTGCTCGAGATATTTATACACATAACTGCGGGAAACGAATCAAAACCGTGACCTCTGCGCGACACTTAAGTCAAAATAGGAAGTAGAGTGGCCCGGCTGCGGGCTCTGCCGGCTCCGTTAGGAAGCCCCTTTCCCGGGGCGGCGCCCTGCCGGAGGCCCGGCCACGCCGCTCTCCCGGCTAATTGGGCCTAACTGCGAGCAGCTGCCCCGCGCAGCCACTGTTTGCGCTGGCGGTCGCCCACTCGAGATCTAGGTCATCGTTTTTGGTTACATTATATTCATGTTGGGATGTTAATGTATTTGTTATAGTTTCAGAATGTTCCGCCATCTGAAGGATTACGAGATAATAAATAAAACATGAGCGACATATTTGTCAAGCCCCGAGGTCACTGCCAAGTACAAAAGCACTTGAGGGCAGATACCCTATTTGATACAGTGTGTGTGGGGTCGTGGCACTTCCCTTCAACATATGGGAAGGTTTCCAATAAAAACAACAAAAATCTGCGGCGCTCGCTGGCTTCTGTGTGTGGAGGAGGCATTGAATGGCCTTTTATCGTCTGTTCTCCGCTTAACATTGCATTTTCGTGCCATGCATTGCCAGACAAAGGAGGGGAACATAAAAAAATACTTATTAGTTTATTAGGGGAAATTGCCGTTGCATGTAGTTTGATAGAATATGGATGTTTCTCAAGAAGCACTTGTGGAAGCAACTTATTGGTTAAATATGAAGGGCGGCTTTCAAAATATTTATCAAATAGTAAGACCTGAGCACTGAGCAATTAGAAGGAGAGTCACTGGCCATGGTAACTGGCGTGGCCCCTCATGCAGGCTTGTGTGCAACCAAAGGGTTCATTATCCAGCAAGTCATCACTGAGGGCCCCTGGAAGGTGACCTTGCTGGGACTCAGTTTAGAACGTGCCCCTTGGAGTTATCCTGCCCTAGGAGTGGGAGCACTGGGGTATTCATACCCACTCCCATCTGACATGGGTTGAAGGCTCCTTCCAGGGCATCAGTTCTCGGGCACTGCTGTCCTGCCATTCAAGTGACAAGGTGGGCTCTGGAGGACTGAGGATGCCCTTACGCAAAGAGATGCTGGTTCTGGACGTTGTAGGTCAGGCTGCTGAGTATTGAGACGATACGTGCGCAGGGGTCCGGGTAGGGCACCAACCGCACCTGCCATCGTGGTGGGGCATTTGAAGATGTCGGTGGGGCTAAAGTGGGGATCATGAAGTATTTCCCTCTCTGCATTGAGTACATCAGTAGCAATAGCCTTCCTGAGATTGTTTGAAACAAACTGGCCCTCAGAATATGACATCAGTTCAGTGGAATTGAGGGGGTGGAGTATATAATGAAAACAATGATGGCCCTGAGAATAATAAAAGTAGTTAGTTTTTGTTTTCATTTGCCCTCACTGTATGTAGCCATGGCCTCCCCATTTTCCAGATGAGAAAACTGAGGAATAGAGGTGTTGAATAACTTGCCCATGGACACACAAGGTGGAAGATGGTAGAGACAGGAATTGACTGGTCTTTCTGACTCCGTATCACAGACTCCTGAAAGTGCAAAGGGTTTTTAACACAGGTCCTTCCCTTTCTCTTTCCTCACTCACCTTCTTCCCTCCTTCCCTGAACTCCTTCCCTCCCTCCCTCAACACATATTTGAGTACTTACATCTGCCAGACACTGTTTTAAGCACCACACAGCAAAGAAACAATCTGATCGTTTTTGATCCCAAGAGTGCCCTATTCTTAACTCAAATACCATTTTCCCTTCCCTGGGCTGTCCCCTGACTCTTGTGGGGCCCTGGCAAGGGTAAAAATGGAGGCTCATATACCATGCCTAAATGTTTAAAAGTTATAAATCAAGCTGACAAACTGTTAAATAAAATATATTTTACTCTAGTGCCTCGACAAATATACCTGCACAGAGAGCAGGTTTGAATTAAACATCTGTGGGCTCCTGGGGGCCATGCAGGACTGTGGTGGCTTGGGGAGTGGGGCCTGCCGCCTGTCCCCACCTCTTCCTTCCCGGGCAGTCCCACACGTGTGACATCTAGCCTGCACATCCAAGCTCCATTCCAGCAAAGAGCTACTCTGTGGCCACTTTTTGGACTTAGGGGTGTGCATACGGAGGTGTGGCCTGCTCTGGAGAGAACCAGCCTGGGG